GAGTCTTTTATTCTGTCCTTACGTACAGATGTCATGGAAAAACATCGTTAAATTGCATTCGATAGCGGTCAAAATGGATATTTTCGTTGAAATATGCTGCCTGCAACTTTTCCGGTATTACAATACTTCCTTTTTACTTCATACAGGGAAGTAAAGAGGGCATTTTTATGCAGTTGTAATAAATTATACAGAACTCTAAATAATAATATTGGCATTTTATACTTAATCAGGCATTTGTAAATAATAAATTTAGCATTTTTATTACTGGACTAAAGGAGTTAAAACGAATTCAGACTCTTGCCACGAGCTGAACAATTAAAGCAGTTATCACAGATAGAAAACAGGGAAGAAGGCGCAAGTTTAAAATATTATAAATTTAATTCCATTGTGGGTCTGGCCACCATATGTAAATCACTATTTAATCCAAGTAGAAAGTTTATGAACATTTTAAATCATTAATGAACCAAATATATTGTTACAATAATACAGGTACAGGTAGGCACCTGCATTCCCGAAATACATTAGGCTTACTAACTGCATTCTAGTTTGGATAGAGAACATCCGGGGGATGCCCTGTCTTCTCCGGGATTTGAACCTGCACCCATCGAAACAGCAGTCAGCTTCACTAACCACTAGGCTGATTAGGAAGCATAACAATAATATAGTCTAACTTCGGATCACGAACGTCTCAGCTCGATTTATAAACAAATCATTGAACAAAAATCAATCATGGATGGAAATCAGTGCCTTGAGTTACGAACATTCAAATCAGCAACATATGCTTTTCAAAGACGTTTTGAGGTAAGCTTTGCCACAAATTAATACTCAGAAACATCTAGAAGTATCATTTTAATATTTTCCATTGCTTGTCTCTCATTAAAAAAGCCTAGCAGCAAGTGACTTACAGGACCATGAATTCGGCCAGTAAGAAATTATGGACAAATAGTATTGCAGGCAGAGACTTTAACACTTAGGCCCCCCCTTTTTTTCCGTTTGTTTCTTTATGATATTGTGTCTATAGGCAAAACCATGAACTATGAAATTAAATTATTAGAGAATCATGTAATATTTAGCTCAGTAAGAAAAAACTACAACAACTTCCGAAACAGCAAGGAAAAAATGTATTAATGTTTGTGGGGAAAAAAAGGGCTTAAAAATAATCTTAATTCTCAGATTCGCAAAATTTGTGCAAAGTAGAGTAAGATGCAAAGTTTTCGTGCAGCAATATCACTCTGATAAAGCAGTAGCAAGCTACAGCACAAGCATTTTCAGTGACATATTTAGTTAGAAAATATTTAGTTATAAATATATATAGTTAGAAATATATTTAGTTAGAAACATTTTAAAAACATAGAAAATAATAAATCACGCTGCATAAATTTTAATTGAAACGTAGACCCATTGAGTCTCACGCAGAGTCGAATGGCACTTGGAGACGGAATAAACGAAAAGAGTGCATAAGAAGACATTCGGCCAAAGAAAAGAGAAATAGCCTGCAAAAATCAGGGAAAGCGACAAATTTTTGTAAAGCAAAAGACCATTTCTTTGGAGTCACAGCAGGCAACCAGACTCAAGTAGGTTTCTTACCGAAAGACTTTGTAGTTCAAGTGCCAAATAGAAAACAAGAATCCTTATGGAAATACTAAACAGTACGAGAATAAAATATCAGTGATCTACCCGTACTACTAAAAATGTTATAATACAAAAATGTTGAAACAGTCTGATTACCTTTCACTTTATGTTGAACCATAAAACCAGCATTGTGGATCCAACGACTAGAGGACATATCCAGAATATAGAACGATTATGAAGATTCGCAAAATAGCGGAACTAGAGACATAGGCTTATGATTCACCATCATTTGAAATCCCTTAAAGGCCCATTTACACTAGCGGAACTTTGATCCTAAGAAACGCAGGCGAATTTGAAGACTCGTTTGAGAGCTTTTTAACAGCAATTTTTTCGTATTATGAGGGAATATTTAACTCTTAAACTCTTGAATAATGTTATAAGTTAGGCTGTTTATTTAAATGTGTACATATTCAGTTTCAGTTTTTTTAAAAAAAAAGAATAACATTTTCGCCATTTAGTGAAGCTAGCAACTTCCGCGTGCATTTCTTAGGCTCAAAGTTCCGCTAGTGTAAATGGGCCTTGAGGAGACATTACAACAGGCGTGATTTTTTTTTTTTTTACAACAACAGTTTTCCAATAATTATTATTAGCAGCACTTTCTGAACTGCGACCTCAAAAATGTATTTGCAAAAAGTAAATTTTTTGAGTACATGCAGGGGAGTTATAAAAACATTTTCCGATATATGAACCTCTAGCTGCCTATCCGCTCAACCAATCGAAATAAAAGTTCAGATACTGTTACATGAAGGCATGCGCTCAAAATTGTGATGATGTAAAACAATCACGGTTACGGCTGCAGCGAAAACATTTCGAAATTTTCGAATGGCAACATGCACTTTCTTCCTGTGCAAATTGATAAGCGCATTGAAAACCATAAATGACTTTGGAACGATACGCATATGGTGAATATTGTCACCCTAAAACGTCTGCAAAGAAGAGTACTGTAAAAACACTATGATAACACAGAAAGAAGGTGCGTAGACCCTTTTTTTTATAATTCACAGGGATAGGAAGTAGAAGCGCCATTCACAGAACACTATGCCCAGACTATTGCTTGTGGAAAAGCTTTAATAAGCAGTTTGGGAAGATTGTTTCTTCAATCAGGTGTTCGAACGGGCAAACAAGATAACACTTCCAGGGAAACTGATAAAGCTGCTTTGCTGAACGCAGAAAATGCTGCCGAAGCAGTGGGAGTTTATCGGCGAAATCATGAGCTAAGACGCGGCCCATGTTCCATAAAAAAATTTGAAGAAACTGGATTCATAGTTTCTTCTCGTCTCAGCTTATGATACCAAGCATTTGTGATGGAGCATGTTTTCATACCTGTGAAGATGATATATCTCAATCCGGACAACCATGGTTGGGTTCAAACATGGGTTCCTGTTGAAGTTTTTGTGGAAGTGCAGGTCCATTCCATATTGCAAGAAGGGTTGCTTGCAGTTTTAATATACAAAAAACCACATTTCTCAAGCTTCTGCGCTCTGTTTTGCAGATGTTCCCTTATACATTTCAGCGAGTCTCGATGTTGCAACCTGGAGATAAACAACAGCAAGCGAATTGTTTCTTCATGAGAAATGATGAAGATAGCAAGTTTTTCTGCTTGCCGCGTCAGTTTCAGATATTTCGATTCAAATCTGCATTTTTACCGCAGTTTTTAAATAAAATTCTTCTTGAAAAAAATGAAATCAAATAAAATTATCTTAACGCAAAAACTTCAGGTGATAATTAGAAAAAAATGTCTGTACAGTAATTAAATACATTATTTAAAAGAAAATTCTAAAGTTTATTAAGAGTAATTAACCATAATTATCGACCGTAAATGAAACATGGTTGATAATAATATAAAGCAATAGACTGTTGCGAGAAAGTAGTGATAGATATCTCGAACCTAGATTTTTGAATCTTACTTAAAATCTACAATTTAAGTTGTTTTATAGCCTTCTGTTTTTAATGGATAAAAAGTTGGCTTCTGGATTCAGAGATTGTCGGTTAAGTCCCACAAGGGTTGTTGTCATAACGAAGCTGGCATTTTTTAAAAAATATTTGCAGAAACGTTCATCGCTAGCATCAAAACAGCGCAGATACTTGCTCCGTTTTCTGGAGACCAAGAATAAAAATCTTTTCTTATAACAACGCTCTAGCCTTGAAGTAAAGAGCGGAAAACAAAGTTTAACGGATTCTGTACATAGGGGGCAGTCAAAACGTTCCCTAAATTTCGTTGTAATTTTTTATTACGACAATATAGGTACAGATTTACTTAATCGTCTTCAAAGCAGGCTCCTAAACGCGCACACTTACTCAACCGCTTCTGCCATTGTTAGAAACACAACTTAAGTCCTCTTGTGGTATCTTCGGAAGTTCAGCCATCGCATTGTTTTTTGATGTATTCGACGGTGTCAAAACGATTAACTTTCAAGCCCATTTTAATCTTTTGGATCAGCTAAAAGTCCGAAGGTGCCAAATCCTGTGAATAGGGAGCTGGTGGAGAAAGGTTCTTTTCTGCGAGCCATATCGGCACAACAATCAATGTGTGGGAAGGAGCATTGTCATGATGCGGTGACCATTGCCTCTCCTTCCCATCTGTAGGGACGCTTTCTTTAGATTGCCTTCCTCAGTCTTTTCAAAACTTGCACGTAAAAAGGGCTGTTAACAACTGGCTGTTTGTCCAACTGGTAGAAATTCAAGATGCACCACACCTTCATTGTCGAAAACGCATTAAGCATATGAATCGTAAAGGAATACCTAGGCCTCGTCATAAATAACAATTCTCTCAAGAAATGTCGGATCCTCTGTGCTTTTTTCAAAACATTTGGCTGCAATCGACTGCCGAGTTTCCATTTGATTCGGATTCAGCAGCCGCGAGACAAACTTTGCACTGACATGTTTCATCTTCAAATCATCATGACATACATTCTTGTCCACCCCGCTACCACCTGTGAAAACCACATGTAAACGGCTGTTTTCATTGAACAGTCGCCACCACTGTTTGTAAGGCTAACAGTTTCTGAAGCAGACTTCTCCAATCTGTCCATAAACTTAAGTTTACCCTTTGCTCGGGCTTTGACATCGGGCTTACATCGCGCATCCCTACCTTCAGATATACTACCGTCACACAGCCTGTTGTAGGAAATAAATATAGTTGTATTGAAAAAATAATTAATTATTTGTGGTAATAAAGAGTTACAACGAAATTGCATGAACTTCTTGACTACCCCCTACTATTTGAAGCGGCCATGGAGAATCGAACTACGGAATAGGCTACGGAGAATCGAAGCTATCAGTCAGCCAATTGAAAAATACTGTTTTTTTCTTTTTTCCATTATTTCGAAGTGGCAACAAAGGAAAAAGTTAAACTTCAATCAAAGAATCTTTGCTTCAATACCGGCGTGTATACGAAGCGTGAAAAATTGCAGTATAAGGAGAAAGCAGTTCAAACGAAGTGCTGAAGGTATTTGATTTCGAAATTCATGTGAAACGCATGCATTAATTTCTTAACAGTTGTTTTAATAGACTTTTCTTTCTTATGTGCTTTATTAATTCTGGAGGGAAATTTTGTCTTTTAAACTAAAGTTATTTTAAGGAACTAAAAGTGAAGCGATGATAATATGTTGGCAAACCAAAACGAAAAAAAAAAAAAAAAAAAATTGGTTTGATAATATTTGATGTTCTTTAACTACTCATTGTATATATTTCATTTACTGCTTATCATAAATTCGATAAATTCGCCGAAAGTAGACAAATCCTTTGTGCACCGGATAGTAGGATTAAACCGTTCAATGTATGATTGATCCGAGTCAGTTTGGGATGAAAATGAAACGGTTATATTTTTTATAGGCTGGATATTTCATTGAAAGTTTGAGAGATTCCTCCCACATCAGCTTTTAAAATCATTGCCTAATTAATTGTATTGATAAGATGACTTTTGCTTATCATCAATCCTGAAGAACTACTAATGAAAGAACCAATGTCAATGATTCAACATTTTTTTCCCTTCAGTAACATTTTGAAAAATGTGATCAGATAGCTGTGAGTACTACATAAATGCCTTAGCTTGCCAGCAGTAAGCAGTGAAATTGCTGAGCACTGATAGTTTGGGTAGTTCAGTCCAAGGTTCAAATCCTGAATGGGCTGGTTGCATGGGCATTTTCATGGTTTTCCCCATGTGTAACTTGTACACAAGCTAGTTTTCCTTAGAAAGTTCTCCATGAAACCATTTCTTCCCTTAGGCAAATAACCCTTGAATGCTTTGCTGTAATCTGCTATACCAAACACACGCCACCTTAGCTCGCCAATGACCAAAGCAATAAAAGTCATTGAACACTGTTAGTTCGAACCTGGGGTTGATTCTGGTTGCTTACGTGTTTTTGTGGACGTGTGGATATGAACCAGTTTCCCTTGAAATGCCCTTTATAAAGGTATCCTTCCCGTATCCCTAGTGTCATATTTGGATAGATAAAACCAAACTAAACCTTAAGCATGTTAATTTTTTTATCCATTTATGACAATCAAAATTATACTTTTCTTAAGCACATTTAATTTTGCAAGCTTTCCTCATCTCAAGCATAAGATTGAAATCAATTATAAATTATTGTTTCATTTATGATAAGCTAAGTATTTTGCGGTGTATGATTTGGAAACCTTATCATGACGTAATTGGTTGTAATTCATGATTGTGCTGGTTTTGATTGTTTGGGGAATATTTCTCATGGCTTATTTCTGCGTTCAATGTCGGTTAGGAAGTACATTGCTTATTTTGTGCTTTTCACCATAAACTGTCTGTTGGTGGTGAGATTAACCTGAAATTTCTGCATAATTTGGAACGAATTAGAAAGAAAGCATTGATTGGCTTGTGTGTAAATGAAGGTTTAAATGACTTCACCTCTTAGTAAATCACACTGTGTCATTTAAAGATCCGGAAACCGAAGCTCATATCAACACTATCAAAGGTATATGGGGTATAATAAAAAGGGATTTTTGAAAGAAATACCACCGACGGTCTACCACTAAGAAGGATATTTTTTATTCTTACTTTTGTTAATTTATGTGGTGATGGTAGTATACAGATTCTAGTTCAGATAATTTTAAACAGTTTCTCGATGCCATTAAGGAATTCTGTGTGCCGCACACTGAAGACGCAGAAATTTCTAGATAAGGTAAGTTGATATTTCCTTTTTGTACTACACAGATTAGATAGCATGTATTCCCATTTTATGTTATTTCATTCTTTTATTTTGATTTAAGATGCAGTTTATTGAGATAATAATATTTTTTTTGTGTGTGTGTGTGTGTTTTAATGGTGTTTTGGACACCATTTTATTTGGGAGGGCTTTACACCCAAACAAGAATGGTGCCAAAAAATAGCCAATTTTCGCCCTGAAATATATTTTTCCCCCAATTATTATTGTAAGAAATTATATCATTTTGTCAGCAGGATGTGCTGCTTTTCGCTTATAATTTATTTATGGTGTACTTTTTATTACAGCATAATGGGAAGTGAAACATTTATATGTGTGATTTACTAATTTTTTTATGTGCTTAATTGCAGTTTATTATATGTAAAAAATTTCCTTTAATTATGATTAAGAAAATTAAATAGTTAATTTCTTATTTTAAAATGTTTTTATTAACCAGATTATTTTTATAATAGTGATTTTATAAACAATATTAATCAGAATTTTAAAAAATTGTGCAAAATTATACACAAATCTATATATATTATTATATTCTTTAGCTAATTATACTAACTAATGGTAACAATATACATCTCGTATACATTTGATTTCCCTTTCTTTTAGTATGCTGAATATTCAGAGTCTGAGATTTATATTCTATAGTGGTCAGAGATGTTTTCATCATGCAGTATCTAGTCCCAAAAAACTGGTAACTGTTGGTATGTCATCGCCTTTGTTTAATTTTAGAATATATTTGCAACTGATACCTTTGACATTATTAAAATTAATTTCAATTGATTAACAGTCCACAGTCAGCTATAGGTTAAAATATTTGGGTTTTCATCCGCAGAGAACCCGTTGGCGCTTTGGGAAAGAACCCGTTGGCGCCGTTGCATTTTTACTCGCCAAGGTCACGGTCCATCGACGATAAGCCAAGCCGTAAACGTGATTTTTAGTGCATGTAAATTCAAGTTAGCAGAAAAATTAATATATTAAGCATATGGTAGTAAAAATTCACAGATAATAAGCATGTAGATGTAAAACTAACCTGTTAAACGTGATATACGAAAATAAATTTGTATTGAATTCAAGTCAGCACAGAAAAGAATATATTAAGCATAAGACAATATATAAGCATTTATATTGGAAATAAAAATTCATTTAAAAAATATAAATCAGTATTAATATACTGAAATTAACCCGTTAAACGGTATATACGAAAAACATTTGTCTTAAATTCCCGTTAACACAGAAAACAATATATTCCTTACACCAGCAATGGTTTGGTAATTTTGATGACCATGGTGATGCATCAAACTATTCTGTCATCTTAGATAATCAATACTATTTTTTATTTCAGTTTAATCATCTATTTATGTCACACCTGCCATTCTCTGAAAGGTTATTGTTAGAAAAGCATTAACAATATATTATGTTGTTACAATTTTACGCCATAAAAATGGATTTATTCTTATAATTGTAGATGACAATAACCAGTAATAAAAATAAAAGCATTACTTAATTATTTAAAATGCACATGCACATTTTTGCGGTCTACGAAAACAAAATTATTTTACAGGTTAGAAACCTCGTGGTTCTTAGAGCTGTTTGTTAATAATTAAGAACACAGCATGAACAGCCGTGTTACAAATTAGAAATATTTCTATCTATTCGTTGTTAAAAAATTCAGAAAAAATAATAATAAATAAGAGAAGAATAATATAAATCTGCAAATGCGAACAACGACAGTGATAATTTAACAAAATGAACGCAAGAGGAATGGTTGCAAACTTCGAACAAGCGAATAGGATAAATCCGCTGGGTTACCAGGTTTGAACTATTATTGCCAAAGTTGGCGATGTTTACATTTACCGGGTTCTTTGCGGAAGTGCTTCCAAATATTTGTTCCATTAGAGAGGAATGCATTAAATTTAATCCTAGACTATCTTTATGTAATTGAAAGTTTTTAAGTGTAGTAATCTCCCGGTTAGAGTAGATTGAAGGGTACCCCTTGTATTATTGCAAAGTTGTTGATTCATCTATGGTAATCTGAGTAGTTGAATGTTCCGTAAATATACTTTTACCTAGAATTGGGTGCTCCTTTGACTTTTTAAGTGAAAATAAATCGATGTGTACATGGACAAAGTCAAGGGAGTGCACAATGCCAAGTTTGTGCAATTCTCTGATTTTTTTTAAGTGAAAATAGTTAATGTATACATGATTAAAGTCAAGGGAGTGCACAATGCCTAGTTTGTGCAAATTCTGTGATTTTTTTTTAAGTGAGAATAGGTCAATGTGTACTTGGATGCCGAATTCGTGCAATTCCTTGACTTGTTATTTTGTCTTTGTGTAGCGGCGATTTTTGGCACTAAAATCAGTGCTACACAAAGCCAAAATAACAAGTCAAAGAATTGCACAAACTCAGTATCCATGTACTGCCGAAAATCGTCAATTTTTGCCAAGGGGTACCCGTAAATATACTTTTATCTAATCTCTCTTATTTCTATGGAGGACCAAAATTTCTGAACTGTGAATGCTGTTTTGCTTATTTTTAAACTTTTTCCTAATTTCCTCAATTATTGTATTGTAATGAATTTCTTTACTTGAGAATTATATAAAATAATGTGTAGAGCAATTATGCTCATTTAATATTGTTAATATAATATTTAATTGTAAGCAGCATTTAAAACTGCATATTTTTGACTTCCTTATTCTGTTAACTTTTGAGGTACTGTTCTGTTATTGGGACCGGACTCAGAAATGTATGAATGTGTGTTTGTATGTATGTTCATATGTGTATACAAACACATACATTCATAATTACATATATACATGTATACATTAACACATGCATGCATACGTTTCTGATCCCGGTCCGGATAACCGAACAGTACCACTTTTGGTAATAAATTAAAATGGCTAAGTAGAAGATCTGGAAGAAACAGGATTTGGAGGAATCCTGTTTTCAGAAACTTGTACTTAAAGTACCCTTTTGCAAAAATACTCTTCATTCTGAAATTATTTCATTAATTTCCCAAAGGTATTCAATTTTTACAAAGATCTTTGATTTTTTATTTAAATTTTTTATTTTTTATTTAAATTTTTTATTTTTTATTTAAATTTTTTATTTTAAAATTCAGAATTTTTGGTGCTTCTTTGTTTAAGTGGCCACTTCATATAAGACTTTTTGAATTTGCATGTTACAGACTAAACGATTTAGTTTGCAATGTTGGTGGCTAAATGAGGTATCTGCTTTAACAAGAAAGTATCAAATTTTTTGATGTGTTCAAAGACTTCATTGTCTCATTAATAAGAATTAAAAATATTCTTCCATAATATAGCTGAAACTGAGACTTAAATGTTGCAAATTAATGAATCTAGTGCAATCTGTATGCCATGATATTACAACTAGCTTTTGTTCATTATATCAGAAAAGTGATTGAATTTTATTTCATCTGTGGAAGAACAAATAGGAAGATTATCAGTTTGAAAAGTATTCCTTATACATTTATTTATTGTGTATGTTGCGGAAAAAATGTATGTCTGTTTGTAAGATTTTCGAGCTGAACCTTCCAGCACGTGCGTATGTGCAAAATTTATGACAAATTCAGTTTTTAATGCACATTTTTCGCATATCAAAGCTGAGGCGTTTGAATGTCATTTCTATTCCTCCTTATCCTTCCCCACATCATGGAATGTGCCAACAGAAAGTCATTTTTCTACTGGGCATTTGTGCTGCGTGGCAACTTTTTCGTAAAAAGTTACAACACGCGTGTGTTCGTGGGTGAAAATTCGGAAAATATTTTTTTCTCAAATATTTTGTAATTTTGCGTTATTAATTGCCATGTACTACATTAATTTGAATACATTTGGCTCTATAAGTTTTCATGGCCAAAAAAAAAATATGTGCAACCAGCAGATTTTGCTCGCATTCTTCAAGAATTACCTGATGTAGAAAAGGAAGACAAGGAAACCTTTGGATAGGAGAACAATAGTGATTTCCATTCCTTATTTTCTTTTATTTCTATTTTTTAGAAATAAATAAAAATATTAAAATTAGTTTAAAGTGTGTTTTTGTAACCAGTAAGAAGTAAATTCCTTGCAGAAGTAAGGGTACTATTCGGTTTCGAGGGCAGTAAAAAAATTGCAGCGAAAATGTATGCACGAAAGAGCCAAATCTAGCAAACATGCCCATTTAACAGCGTGCCAAATCTCGCGTACGTGCTGATTTCAGATTGCGTAAGTTTATGTAGTTTTATGTTTCTTAAGAAGTCATTGAAATACTAGTTTAATTTTTTATTCCTTTTTTGATATCCTATGGATTTAACAATTTGGGAATTTCCTATGATGAAAAGTCTGCGATAGAATTTTGGGTAAAATGCAGAATCACCCACTGCTTGTTGCATTTTTAAGAATTGCACATACCCGGTATCCATGTACACAACGGCTTATTTTCACTTTAAAAAAAATCCCAGAATTGTACAAAAATGGCACTGCGCACACCCTTGACTTTATCTATGTACACATCGACCTATTGTGACTTAAAAAGTAAAAGATAATTGACAAAATTCCAATTGTTTTTACCCTTGTAAAAAGCAGCAAAGAAATTTGCGGGTGATTCTGCACTTTACCAAAAATGTTTTCAAAGAAAAGGCATCATTCATTATAGAAAATTATGTTTGAACAACCAACGAGATAACATTGTGCTTTAGTGAGAACTCGGTAGCGAAATATTGTGTGAAATTAACCTTTCATCTAAATTAAAATATCAATATTTAGATAGTTATTTACTATTATACTTCCTTTTTTGTGTTAGGGTTGCCTCAATTACTTTTGGCAGCACTGGCATCAACAATAGTTTGGCGATTTTTTACGGCCCTCGAAATCGAATAGTACTGAAGTAAGTAATGCTAAACTTACTTTTTTCCCTACCAAGGTGTTTTCCTTTTTTATTTGCCTATACTTGCCTTTGATGGATATTAAAACTAGCTTCGATTTTAAAATATAATTCTTAAATAATAAATTTAAAATGTTATATAATGAAATACATAATTGCATTTCCATCTCGCTAACATAAGAACTTAAAAATAATTTACTTATATTTGAATGTGATATCATTTGTATTTTGCAATAATAAGATTAATATTTTATTTCGTAACAAATTTATTGTCAATATTCACTCATTTCTGTCATTTTTCGGGCAAAAAACGGTAAAAATAACGGATGTCGTACAAAATAGGACGCGCACGTGCTCGTGTAAAATTGTCAAGCGCGCGTGCTGTAAGCTTAAGAATGTCTTTTAAGTAGAATATTATAAAAAAAAAAAAAAATTCAAAAAAAATTGATATTAATATATATTACTAAAGTGTCTAGTGAGACATTTAGGATTTTTTGTGATTTTTATCATGAATTCAGCAAAATAAGGTTTGTATAATTTTTAAAAGTATGAAACTTTTCTTGGTAATCACTTCTTGTGAGTAGCAAGAACCTTCTCAATCATCCTCAAGAGAGACTAGTATTTCTTAGAATATAAATAAACATAAATATTAAACATCACTTCTAAAATTATCAGCTGTTCAGGAGACCAGAAGTATGTAGAGCCATCAGTGGTCATCTTAGGAAAGTTTTTGATTTGATGTTAATCATCAGAATAATTTCTCCCTTTGTTGTCAGCTGAAACTTAAACTAAAAACGTATGACTGAGTACAATGCTTTATTTTCACTTATGTATGTTATGTATTGCTGTCAATTTATATTTGATGTATTGGCATCAAGCATATATGATATAGCAAAAGGTAACATAAAGCATAATACCTCCCATAGGTGTCTTGTTATGGATTTTAAAAAATGTGTTTAATGAATAACAAATGTTTCTTTTGTTTAATTGTCAATAAGTATATAGTCAGCTTTCTTAATCTGGAGTCTGTAACCCTTTAAAAGTATATAGGTGACTTATGGTTGAGTTGATGAAATAATTAAGAAGACTTAAGTTTATTTTGTTTGCAGCCAAAAAATGAGCATGTAAAGTATTAAAAGAATGTGACATTTTGATCCGGTGATGATAGCCCATTCTTGTACAAAAATTCTAAATGTGTTGTAATGATATAATTTTTCTTTTTAGCTTAAAAATGCTTCTTGAAGCATTTAAATAATCTTTTAATATTTTTTGTTGTTTTATTTTAGGATTTTAATCGATAGTTTTTAGTAATTTTTTTTGTCTTTTGGTTAAGAAGGTCACTAAGTCCCATTAATGCCTTTTCTAATTAAGTTCTTGCAAAACAGTGTTCTAGAAGAAGTATATTAGACAGCAGTTAATGATTTGGTGATAACTGTTAAGAATTGAAATTATTTTATTGAGAAACAGTGAGGAGTGTTTTATGATTTCAGAGGTGCAGAGTGTTACTGTAACAGCATTTAAATCAAGTATCTTGCAAACTATAGGACTTGCACTTATTTTTTATGGAGGTAAAACTGATAAAATAAAAAATAAAAAGCAGTCTTAAATAGATAAATGTTATTTGTTAAACTGCCTATTTTAAAATAATCAACTGATCAATTAAACTAGTTTTTTTAATTTTGTTTTATTGCAATGTTTTTGTGAATTGACTACATAAAAATACTGCATATAATTTTTGTGTTCTTAAAATTTTGAATTAATTTCTTTTTTCTACTTTTATAGTAAGAAAACCTGTTGTGTTGTATATTACATCCTGTAAGCTTCATTTAAGTACACTACATTTTACTAATGGAGAAAAAGAAGGTGTTGTAAAGAGCTTATCTGCCCTTCAGGCCAAAAAAAGAGTACCCAAGAAAAAAGTTAAAGTGGGAAAGGAATACACTGATCAGGTATGTAATTTTCATTTGTGATGTTTTGATGTATAGGTTTGTAAGCATGCCTTAAAATTATCTGTTTCTCCAAGTTTAACAGTAATTTGCTTTTAGTATCCTATTAGTTTAAAAATATTTTGTACCTTACCTCCCCCACCCCCCCCCCAAAAAAAAAAAGATTTCTAAAACTTTTGTGCTTTAAAGAATTTTTCAAAAGATGAGAAGATTTAAAGAAGATGTTTTTCTGTAAAACTTCTGGCAATCTAAGTTTGACTTTTATGTAGTTTTAAATAAATAACCTATTTTACAAAAGCTAAATAAATAAAATAATACACACATACATATATATATATATATAACAATCAACAATCATTCACTTTTGCATTTTCTAAATTTTTTAGAATTAAATAATTTTTAGAATTTTATATTTATTCATGAATTTGGTACTTGCACTTGATTTACATATGCTCTCGGAATAAATGATATTGTAGATTAGTTTGCAACAACTTTAATCATATGTTTGCATTAAATTTAATTAAAATTTAACTTTAAATTTGCTTTTTACAAATAGAGAATGTTTGTTAAATTATGTATATAGTGAAGCCATTCAAGACAACCACTTTCCTGAGATGATTCTCTTTTTAAAAGGTTAATGTTTCTGAGAGCATGGTTAAATAAAGGTGTCAAACATTATTAACAGTCTGTTCTATAAGGTGATCACTTCTGCAGAACCCAAATCCTGTATAATCATGAGCTGCTATTTTAGTAAAGTTTCACCTTTTATTTTTACATTGGAACCTTTCCTAAGATGATTGATGATGGTCCCAAATAATATTAGTCCTTTGTACAGATTCTCACATTAGGAGGATGATGCCACTTTTTAATGCTTTAAGAAACATTGATCAGTCTCAGAGGTAGGTGTTTGTGAGAGAAAAATGTTATGAGAAAATTTCCTGTATAAATAAGAAAAATGTGATTATTTTTTTTTTTTTTTGTTGAAAATTTTATTAAATATTAATCAAAGAAAGAAATCCTTTAAAATGTAAATTTATTAACAATATAGGAATATTGGCAAGCTGTAGCATATAGTTCAGCTGAAGAATATGATATGCCGTTATTATCAAAAGAGCTAGAGAAACAAGGATTGTATGAGCATTGCAAGCTACCAGAAGATGCTGGTGAAGTTATTCATGTGATTGCTAAGTACATGGTTGGAAAAGAACCTCGTCACATCTATTTTTTTAGGTAAATTCCATAATGGGAGTATTCTCCTTTGATCTCCTGTTTTTGTAAACTTCAGCTTTTCAAATTAGAGCCTTTCAAAATTTTATATATCTATTAATAGTAAGCTCTGCAGTAGATCTAATTTGAGTAAAGGCTGCTGCTTTATTGAGAACACATATCACACAATGTTAATTATATAAACAAGGGAAAGAAAGCTTGAACCTTTAAAAGAAAATTTTGAATGATTATGTATGTTGTGTTTTGCACATACTAGTAATTTTTTTATTGCTTAGTGATGTTGCAAAGGTATAGAGTAGGGGTTCTCAACCCTATGCCCACAGGCACCATGGTGTATCCGATCGTTCAATGTGTGTTCGCCACTGTGCGATCACATTAAAAATGTTTGTTTTCAATAAAATTATATGTGAAATTTTTTTCATTTTTAATTAAATAGAAATTCCGTCTAACACAGATTCCAGCAAAAAGCGAAATGCAACTGATCTCTCTTTTTTTTTTTTTTTTTTTTTTTTTTTTTTATGTGCTTGTATTATTACTCTATCCAACTATCAGTTCACTTTGAAAAAGTAAAGTAAATAATGCCCGACTTCCAACAGATATTCTAGAATATGCTCTTAGGAACAAAAGGATTGGGGAACAAAAGGGTCTAGAGATTTCTGTTTCAGATTGTTGTATAAATTTGGTTCAACTGTAAGCTAAGTAGGTTGTTGAAAGGTGGGAGACCTGTTATAGCCAAGATTTTTTAATTTTTACTTTGTAGTGTTTATGTAAAAGTTTAAGTTATTGTCTTAAATATAGTGTCTACTTTTGAAAGGAACTCTACTATTTTTAATCTGGATGGCAACCAGATCTCGCATGTATTATCCATTTTTTTCTTGACTCTTATAAATATATACTAGAATTAAAACTTAAGTAAGCATTTGTTTGAACATATGTGTATAAGATATGCAGTGCACATCACTTAATGTGATCAAGTTTGTCATGCTATTTTGATAATGTTAACCGAATGTTAACATGAATGATAAGAAAAAATATCTTTAAAAAAAATCATATTGAACTAACTTAATAAAAACATATCTGTAAACAATTAAATAGACATCTTCATAGTATTTTAATGAGGAAAATGCAAAAGTTTGTTTATAAACTGTTTACAGTGTATTTAATGCAAAAGTTCATTAATGAACTGTTTGTAAAATTTCTGGAAATTATTTGGCCAATGCTGTATCCCTAGTTTTAATATTCTGAGGGCATCATTCATTGGGAAGCAAAATTCAGATTTTACTTTTATATGATTATTCTTCAAATTTCAGTAAATTCCCAATGTAAAATTCAGAATAAGCAAAAAGACAACCTTAATTTACTGTGATATTTTCAGAGAATTGTTTTTGCAATGGGGACTTTTTTTTACTCTTGAAAAGGAAGTCCTTCTATCTGATGATAGCTCTGAAAATCCACATAGTTATTGAAAAGCTGCATCAAGCTTAGGTTCCCCCCCCCTCCCGTATGTGATTTCATCCCTTACTTGGCAATTTTTTTAATCAATTTTGAGCTTGTTGGCAAACTTAACTTCAGTTTAAAAAAAAAAAAAAAAAATTATTCTATAGTATTTAGTTCGTATTAACCAAATTGTTGATTCAATAAGTGATATATTTTCCATACATATACAAAGTATTCCATATATATATATGTTTCTTATACAAAGAGGTTGAACTTCGGCCATTTGATAACAGTATCGCATTTAATAAATGCGGTATTATTAGTCACTTTATACTTTATTATTAGTCACTTATTATTAGTCACTTTAATACACAGACACTCTTTTCAAAGCTAAAAAATGTCTGTGGTTCAACTCTTAGTATGCTGAGACTAACTGCTCGATATTTTGCTAGCCATGTACCACCTAATCCCATCAAGAAAGAGCCTCGTAGACAGTGTTCTCTTCGTTGCTTTAAAAATAATAAAAAATAAAAAACTGGAACTGGCAGATAAATTCACAAAGAAACGCAAATTTGGTGCAGAGTTTGCGAGGTAGCCTCGAGCCTTATTTTTAAGTTTATCAGACTAAATTTCTAATAAATGTTTTTATTATATTTTGCATATTTTCATTAGATATGTATTTTACCTTTGTATTTCATGAAATAAATCATAATTTAAACAAGATTCATTTTCAAACTTTTGCTTTTATATGATTATTCTTCAAATTTCAGTTTCCTGATAACCTTTATTTATGATCTAATTTTAAATTGAAAAAAAAAACTCTTTTTAAAAAATTTTTTGTATATTTTAATGATAAAATTACCCATGCAGCTAGTTCATTGGCTTGAAATTAAACTCAGGTCAAACTGCCAGTGATCAGTAAACCTTGCCACTTGACCGCTGGGAGACTTTTTTTTATCTGATTTCATCAAAAATGTAGTTCACTTTAGAGTTGTGTTTGGGTGTCACCTAAGGTAAACTAGTAAATGTATTTAAGTTTTTATAAAAATTTTACATTAGCATGTTTCTCTTTCAATAACGTTAATATATGTTTTACATATAGTGCAGATGCACTAACAATGCTTGATACAGTTTAATATTGCTCAAAAAGTAATCCTATTAAATACCAGCATCATGATTATAATAGTAGTTTTTAACTGATTTTTATATTCAGAGAAAACTATGCATATGAAACTGAAATGAAAAATATTTAAAAAAATAATTTAAATTCTTCTATGAAAATTCAATTAAAATAACAAGTTTGTTGAAACTTCTTTCACCAGTAGTTAGAGTAAAATATTCCTGATGCTATTTCCAAATTTGGTTTCAACTGAATTAAACTGTACTTGTAAATTATCTTTAATAAATCTAACTTTGTAGATACTTTCAAGTGCAGACTTGGTGAAATAGTGTGTTTCTTAAAACAAAATTTTTCTGATAAAATTCCTGGATCATTTATGTTACATAACAAAGTTACAATTTTTTCATTTCAAATCATTTAACCCTAGTGGCATTAATCTTCTGCCAGTAAGGAATTCAAAATAAAATATATGACATTTTTCATATCTCTATTTTATTTCTGAGTTCATTTCTACTTAAGAAAAACAAGTTTTTCAAATATTTTCTCTTGGATGATGATATTAAATGCTGAGCTCCAAGGAGTAAGTTAGCATGCTTCATCTTGCTTACCTGTAAATCATAAGTATGGGCAAGAGAATTGATGACAATAACAGGATAGTGACCAATGCATTCAAATATTATTTTCATTTTGGAGGTACTCAACCACCATAGCAGCTTGTTATGATCAATCATTGTAATCTATTAATAAAAAATCTGAATTTCTCTTAAACCTTAGTTATAGAATCTCTGTTAAAGATAAGCAGGTTGATGATATGATGGACATTGCTCATAATTCCTTCTGAAACCTCTAAACTACTATATTGAAACATTCTCTTTCATAAATATGCAGTGTGAGATTGTATATTCAAGCACGGTAGAAATACAAATGCATTTAGAATTGGTATTTCAACTGAACCCATCCACGAATAGTAGTTGGGTCTAGTCTTCTTGGCACTTGGAAAGTACAGAAAGCAGAGCACAATACAATAGTCTTCTTCACATAAAAACCATTCTTGTGAAGCCTTTAAGCATGGTTTTTATGTGAGCAAGGAATAGGTCTGCTAATTGAAATTTTAGTAGCTGCTGAGAAGTTTCAGTCAACTTTCAAGTAATTACATAATGCTTTCTGTGTTCCAGCAGGTGATAAATAAGTTCTAAATTTCTAAATTATTGGTTTGGATAATATTTAGGGTTTTTGGAGAAATCATCTTGTGTTTGATCTGTCTTGAATGTACTGCTCACCTGCCACTTTTGACAATTTTCAAACTGACAAATTTACATTTAAGCAAGATATTTGTATGATGTAAACATATTTCCTTTCATGATTTGCTCAAGCTCATTTTATTTTCATGTTTTGTGTAAAAATGTCTGGTAGCAATAAATTTTTGTGCTTGTTAGTATATTATTATTACCATAAATAATTCGAAATGATATTTTAATCTGTCATTCTAATTAGTGTCATTTTTACAAATATTTCTTAGTTTTGAACTAAGGAACTATGACTGCATATTTCATATGACTTATTCAGTTTTCTCCTTTCACTTCAATGTATTTAGCTTTACAGTCAGTCAGGCTTAACCCTGTGACTGCTTATTCCTCAGTTTTCCACAAGCAACATTAAATGTAGCAAAATTTGCTCATCCCGCATTATCCATGAGCATGTGTTTGCTACCTCTATGCGAAGTGTATCATGCTGTTTCAATGTTTAATCATTAGTAATCAATTCTTTCTCTGGGATTCAAACCAGGCATTTCAATATGGCAGTCAGCGTCATTAACCACTCTACCATCTGGGCGACATGAAGACTTAACTAATGTTGAGTAGTTAAACATTTATATTTTCTTTTTGTTAATTTACTAATTTTCATTATTATTCATATGATTACATGCATATTAATTATTAATTAAAAGTACTGCAAAAAATTATTTTTTCCAGCTTAGAAATCAGTACGATTCAAAAACACAAAATTAGAAAATTGAATGAAATTAGCCTAAACCATAGTTTAAGTTTTAATTTGCTATTCTAAATTTTAGTTTAATTAAAATCATTCTTTCTAGTTTAATAGTTCAAATCATGCATTTGACTTTAAAATGTATCATTTGGAGTTCTTTTGAAATAGCATAATGTCACATAATACAAAAACATCCTAATAAAAAATTTATACACATTTTTTGCTGCACTTCATTAAAATTTATTTCCGTGAAGAATTTTATATTAATCAATCACTCAAGGCTAGATAAAAATGACATCAAAAATTGCAAATTTGGAAATTAAATATCATGGTCAATTTTTGTTGCATGGGAGTCAAACTTCTTGTATTTTTATTTTTTCATAACGAGTATTATAGCTTTTACAAATATAAGTGTGAGAATTGGGAGCTTACATTAAAAGTTAAATTTTATTATTTGCCCATTAAAAAAAAAAAAGAAAAGAAAAGAAAAAAAAAATTTAATTTCCAAAACATGAATATTTTTAAAATTTAAAACACTTCTGTATTTGGAAGTGTATGACTATGACCAACTATTGCAAAAATAAAGGCCAGGTAAGGACTTTTAAGGCAGGTAAGGGAATATATGTATATATATGCGTGTGCATATATAAATCCATTTTACAATCCGTTTTGGAATAAAGAGTCCTTTATTCTATACGTACATGCAGAATAAAGAGTCTTTTCTATACGTACATGCAGAATAAAGAGTCTTTTCTATATGTACATGCAGAATAAAGAGAGTTCCTTTATTCTATACGTCATGCAAAAAAATAGTGAAAATAGATTCAAGAATGGTCGAAATGGATGTTTCTTTCAAATATGATAATCAAAATATACGATTGCAATACTCCCTTTACTTATTACAAGGAAGTAAAAATATGTAAAATATTTTCAGAGTTCCTAACCTGAAAAAAGCAATTTCATTTGAATGCTGTTTATAAGGTTTGCTTTATTTAATTATGGCAAAACACGTGAGCACTATCTGCTTAAAGGGAAGAATGCCTTCATAGAAGACTTTCTAAGGGAAACTGGCTCGTATACATGTTACACAAGGGGAAAACTATGAAAACGCCCATACAACCATCCCGTGCCAAACTATCAGTGTTCAGCGACTAGCACTCGACCGCTGGTGAGCCACACTGTTTTTAAAAATTGCAAAAATGTTAAGAATTGTAATAAAGCATTGGATTATAAACTAATGTATGTATTTCATTGTTGGTATATTTTGAGAAATATTTTTATATTCAATTCTTTTTTTTTTTTTTTTTTTGAAGTGAAGGAAGTGTTGTGTTTTGGAATGTTCCTGATTTAGAAGTATGTATTATGAATTTCTAATATTTTTACTGTATAATGTATATACACATATGTGCAAATCTTTAAAAAAAAAAGTATATACTTTTTCTCCTAGCAACAATCTGTTCTTAATTTTCTGAAACCTTTCGAGACCAATCCATATGATTCAAAATTAGTGAATGCAGAAAAAGAAGATTTAGATTATTTATATTCTGAGTAAGTTTTCCATTTTAAAAAAAGACATAACAATACTTACTGAAGTTTGTTTAGACTTTTTTTTATGCAGATACCTTTATTATTCCTTTTTAATATTGTGAAACAGTATTGTGTGTGGCTTGTGAAATGACTTGTGCTAATTTTATTTTTGTTATAGGGATAAAACAAAATTTTTAGATGGAAGAATTATTCTTCATTCTGAAGGAAATACTGATCTTTATACATACACCTTTTCTAATAGCATGGCACTTTCAGGTAACTACTTGAATATAAAAATTTTGTGTTGCATATGTTCAAGAGTGTGAGGTACTCAGTCTTGGACTTCATTAATATGCCTTTACACCATGTATTCCCAAGAGAACATTAAATAATATTTATTTGTATGGAAAAGAATGCATCTCTCAGAGACAAATAAATAAATCAAATCTCTTTGGAATATACTGTTTAAATTCCTTGATGATGTGGTAGTTAATACATGTGAACTCAGGGTCTAGGGAATTTTCTAGGCTGACGACATACATCTGGGTGACTAAAGTATTTATTTATTTAGTTAATGGTGGAGATACATTAATGACTATTTACAAATGAAAAAAAAGAGTGATGATTGGAAGGTTACATCTTTGCTGTCTAATCATTACGTCGTAGTCATAAGCATGACCTCCTTATTTACCATCATCCATCTTATTGTGATACCATTAGTTGTGTTGAGTTGTCGCACTCCTGCTACTCACACTCGGGCATCCTGATACAACAGGGCCTCCTGGCTATCATGGAGTTACAACAAAATCTGAAAAGAGTAATTAAAAAAAGAAAAGTTCGTTTGGGTGTATCATCTTGGAACGTTGGAGTGTCAATGGATCATTTTGAAGGGGGGGAATATATTATTTCTCCAGACCATCTTAAATGCTCAAGCATCTTTAGGAGCATATCTGGAACATCTTGGCGAGGGAAAAAAAAAAAAAATTAACATCTTAATAGATCTTGTATATACAGGGTGTTTCATAGATCATGGGACAAACTTGGAGGGGTGGTGGAGCATACTAAAACATGAATTTTTTTGTATAGGAATGTAGTGTGACGGGTTAAGGCAAGAACGCAAAAAAAAAAAAAAAGAAAAAAAACACGAGAGGAAATTGTGTTTATGTACAAAATCAACGCAAAGTGCTTCTTTGCAGCAATACAGTATTCACAATAAATGTTCAACAAAGGGAACAGTAATAAGAACTACAGCTATGATTGGCTGGTGATGCAGTGGTAGAGGGCGGTTGTGAGCCGGACAAACCACGATCCGATGCATCAGAGGATCATTCGCAACTCTGATGTCGAGCGTGATGGGCGAGTTTACGCACAGAGAAAAAGCTGACATGCATCTCATGTATGGTGCTGCTAATGGGAATGGCAGAGCAGCGCTACGATTGTACCAGAAAGGGTTTCCGACCAGGCATATGCCGAAGCACACAATGTTCGAGAGGTTGCATCAGTCTCTGTGTAAAAACGGGTCATTTGAAGCCACCTCTGACACTAGGAGTGGAAGAAGAAGTGCATGACAACCTTGCATTGAAGAATCCATCTTGAACATTGTGCATGAATCACCTCAGACAAGTACAAGAGCTATTGCACGTCGTCTGAAGCTGAGTCATTCCATCGTTTGGAGAGTAATGCATGAAAATACGAGGGCCATCCAGGAAGTAGATTACGTTTCCGTCTGTGTCCGCTAGGGGCGGGGCTAGCGCGGCCATCTTGGGGTCAGAGCGTTGCGCAGCTCAGTCTGCATCTAGCCGTGCTAGTGAGAGGTTCGTGCTGTGCTCCGTTCAGATACTGTGACGGTTTGAAATGTCTGCGTTAATTGAAAATCCCGCGAGCTGCGAGGTGCGCTCAGTAATAAGGTTTCTGACTGCAAAAAAACTGTAAAACCGATAGAAATCTATCGGCAGCTTCGTGAAGTGTATGGGGACAACATTATCACTGAAGGTGGAGTGCGTCAGTGGGTCATAAGATTTCAAAATGGCCGAACCAATGTTCACGACGAAGATCGAAGTGGGAGACCCAGCATAGTGACCGCCGAACTTCTCAAAAAAGTCGATGCTAAAGTCCGTGAAAATCGAAATTTCACAATAACGGAACTTTCTTTGAGTTTTCCACAAATTTCACGAAGTTTGTTGCACGAAATCATCAGTGAAAAGCTTGGTTACCACAAGTTTTGTGCAAGATGGATTCCAAAAATCTTGACAGAGGACCACAAAAATCAGCGAATGGCTGCAGCGTTGAACTTTTTGGACGCTTACCATAAGGATGGTGACTCTTTACTCGATCGCATCGTTACTGGTGACGAAACATGGGTGATGAAACATGTGAACTGTGAAACGAAATTGCAATCAATGCAGTGGGGGCACACAAGTTCTCCCCAAAAACCCAAGAAATGCATGCAAACAATGTCGGCAAGGAAGATGATGACGACTGTTTTTTGGGACAGAAAAGGTGTAATTTTGGTGGACTTCCTGGAAAGAGGCACTACAATAAACTCTCAAAGGTATTGCCAAACTCTCCAAAAACTCAGAAGAGCAATTCAAAACAAGTGCAGAGGAATGTTGAGCTCTAAGATCTTGTTGATTCACGACAACGCCCGGCCCCACACGGCAAATGTCACTCATAAAGTTCTTGAATCTTTTAAGTGGGAGTTGTTTCCTCATCCGCCGTACAGTCCCGACCTGGCACCGAGCGACTTCCACCTATTCCCAGCAATGAAGAAGTGGCTGGCTATGCAGCGTTTTGTTTGATGACGACGCACAGCTGCAAGAAGAGGTAACGAAAGTGGTTGAAGGCGCAGGCGGCCGAATTTTTCGACGAAGGAAAGGAATTTCCAAGCTCGTACATCGCTACGATAAATGCCTTAATTTGTATGGTGACTATGTAGAAAAGTAGTATTTGAGTGTGGCTTTCATCTGTATATAATAAAATTTGTTTCCTATACTTTGTTTATTTTTTTATTCCAAAACGTAATCTACTTTCTGGATAGCCCTCGTAGTTTGCACCCATACCATTTGCAGAGAATCCAAGTCTTGCAAGAGACAGATTACTCTCTGCGAGTTCATTTCTGTCATTGGTTCTTGCAGCAATGTGCAGTGCATGCGGATTTCCCATAATATGTGCTATTCACAGATGAGGCAACTCTCTCACAGGACTGCATCTTCAATAGCCACAACATGCACGTGTGGGCAACTCATAATCCACACGGCACATGTCCACATGCATTCCAAACCCACTTCTCCGTGAATGTGTGGACGGGTATTGTTAACGACTACCTCATAGGCCATTCCTCAATGACGACTGCCAGTGTCAATCAGTGATGGAATTATAACCTCAGAAATATTGATGTAAATAATCATAGAATGTAGGGGGTGTGACTGTATGACAACTTGATTGAGAACTGTCTCTGATTTTTGTGACGATAGAGGTGATGCACGACATCATTTCTACTAAGTACAAGTGGCCAAATAAATTGCATGTAAAACATTTAGGTTGTAAACAATTAGAACTTTATGGCCTTTAGACCCATAATTGTAGCAAACTATAGGTTGGGTAGGCTTCAGAAAGATTTTGCTTTCTGAGTTGATGAGAATTATTTTGTTTAAATTTCATATCACTAGAAAATTTAGTATGTTTGGAAGCAGACACAAGCTTTTCATAAATTTTTAACTTATCTTTGAATTCACTTATAGTTTTACAACCATATAATAAAATTTTGTTAGGGTTTTCTGGAATACCATTTATCACATAATCAAAAATAGAAGATATATCAATTTGATCTCTAAAACCAATTTCTCTCATAGCAATAAAATAATCGAATAAGGATTCGTTTGGCTTTAAACGCCTTTTAAACATCAGTTTATGCAAATCTGCATTTAAGCTTAGAGGAAAATTCTTCTAACAAATATCCTTTTAATGTAGTAAAAGTTTTGACACCATGTAAAGAATTTATATAAGTTTTAACAGAGCCGAATAAGCATTTTTTGGTAAATATAATCTTGTGAACATCATTTGTAATTCTATTCAGTTGAAATAATTAATTTAAGTCATTTAAAAAAGATTCAATTAAATTATCAGAAGAAAAATCAAAAGGTTTAATACAGTCGTATAAAGCACTGAAAGTTAGATTGAATTGCAGTTCATTTATGGATGACATGACAGGTGTATTATTTATGTGATGCTTATGGAAACAAATACATACCTGCCAACTTTTACGAATTTTTCGTAATTTTTATGAAAATGCATTTGTCTTTACGATTTTACGATCGTAATCCATTTTTTACGATTTTTTTCCTTTTTCAAGTGTTTTTAGTGATTTTTGTCGAAATTTTAGAATTTTTCGCCAATTCAGTGATTTTTGCCAATTGCATCGTGTTTTACCGCCAACTACCGATACTTCGAATCCAGTAACCTGCGGTTTCTCCCAACTCGCCGCTTAACCAGCCAATCCAATGTGCTGAACTTGTTTCTCCCACTCTTTTCTTTGTGGGCGCCAGATTATTTTTTTCACGTTCACTTCAGCAGCAAGGGAATTACTCAGCGAGCATGGATTGTCGCATTCTTTTTTTTGTTTGCATGTGCGACGAATTTTCTTAATACATCATTGTTACAAAATGAGTTAAAAAAAACCGTATTCTCAATATTTTTGGCCTGCCTACAAAACCGAATTTCCAACAATTAAAGAATCCTTCAAAGGAAATAACTATGCATTTTGCAACGTGTGCGTGTGTGACTTCATAATAAGTCACGGTGGAAGAAGCGACATTGTGAAGCATGTTAAGTCTAAAAAGCATGAAGTTAATGCTTCGGCTTCGACAACGTCAAAGAAAGTGGATGATTTTTTTTTTCAAATTCGGCTACGAATTCGGATGCCGATGTCATTTTGGCAGAGTGTTTGTTTACTGCATTCCTCATCGAACACAACGTGCCGCTAAGCGCTGCCGATCACGCCGGTCAACTTTTCAGACGGATGTTTCCCGACTCCAAGATTGCTCAGAAATATGCTTGTGCTCGCACGAAAACATCTTCTATTGTGAACGAAATTGCTTGCGATGCACAAAGTAAAACGATAGCTGCACTCCAGAATTCAGCATTTTCGGTGTCAATCGATGGCAGCAACGACAGCGATTGGAAGCTTTACCCCATCGTTGTCACATATTTCTGTGATGTTTCTAATGAAATGAAAACTCATCTTTTGCGTCTTCCATTGTTAAATGGAGACGCTACGG